ATATTTATTTAGATATAATTGTTACTACTATTAACCCTATTACTGCTATTATTACCATTACTAGTATTATGTAGTAAAGCCCAGAGCTTTAAAGATGGCAGACCGTACCTTCTTCTCTGAGGGAGCGCAGCTCTATCCTCATCTTCTGTAGCGCCTCCTCCAGCTCTGCACACCTGGAGCGCTCCTTGTCCAAGGCCATTTTCATGTCACCGTACGGCATGGGGACCGCCGGCTGGGCCTGCTGAGCCAGAGCACCATTAGTAGTGGTGCCTACATCTTCACGCCGCCGTCCAAAGATGCCCTGTACAGAGGAGAAATGGTAATCCACTTATTAGCTGGCTGAGATCATCGTGGTACGATTCTGTAAACTGAAATATTTTCCTGTACCTACCTTCTTTTTTTTGGTGGGTTGGTCCATTTTGGCCTGCAGGAAATCAATGAGTTTGGTCTGCTGGGAGATGGTGCCCTCCATTTTTACTTTCTCATGGGAGTACACAGCCTGTAGTACGGAAATCAGAGGCTCAGAGAAGGAAATGCCTCAAAAGACTGCTTTGAAAAGAAGCATGTGTAGGAAAACTAATCAGGATTTATAACCATCATCGCTCTACCGAGACACTTTTCGCTGTGGCTAATGTATCTAATAATTAGGAGCATCTTCCTCTCCAGAGGAGATCGCATTTCATTTGTCTGAAGAGGTACATAAGTGAGCACCTGTATATTTTCCAGCTGGTACTCCAGGTCTGTCCTCTCAGTTTTGAGCATGTCGGTTTGGTCCAGGGCATCCTGAAGGCCTTGAGTCAAACGGAAAATGTGGCTTTTCTGAAGGTCCATCTGCTGCTGCAGCTTCGCTTGCTGGAGGGGGTGGGGGTGGGGGCATCACAAAATACAGTTAAAACAAAACCTTTCAAACCAATGTTCTTAATAGGCACAGACATGTTGCTCTGGCTAATTGCTGGTGACTTTCTACCTCTTCCATCAACCTCTGTTTCAGTTCCCTCTCGGTCTCCAGCTTCTGCTGCAAGCTGCGAGCGTTCATCTCCAGCATCGCGTGCTTCTTCTCCAGATCGTTGAGCTGCGACAAAAGCCAGTCACAGACATGTTTCATGAAAGAAAGCTACGATGGCTGATGAAGCTAAGTTTACCGATATCAAAGAAAATGTCTGTTCGAAAGATCCAAGCTTCTAAATTTCATAATAAAGATAAAAATATGTTACAAAAGTGGAGGAGAAGATCAGGAAGTTCACACATTATAATGACCTAATACTGATGGTATTCTGATCCAGGTAGTCTTGCTCACAAGACAGAATAATTGACTGAACTTTCATCAGATCACTTTGATCATAAATATTACGCTAAACGGCACTTCCAGGTCAAAGACAGTAATGGGGGATAGTTTTTCCAAAAATATTACATTAGTGTCTTTTGGAAAGGGACAGAAGAACTATATGCTTTATGTTGCCTTCAACAAGCCTATAGGACATTTCTGGCTGGATATTTGTCCACTTTTCTAATTAGAAATGAGCTCACATAAATGAAGGATTTCCTGGTACAGACTGTTTGTACATTTAATTAATAATATTTTAAGTTATCCACAATAAACACAAGCCCAATCCTGTCTGCATTCACTCTGGAACCAGTTTTGATGAGTTAGCGATCATTGTCTAAAGAACCAAAACTGCGCCCAAAGTTTCAAACGTCCAGAAATATACACACTGAGCATCACTGTTCTTAGGTTTACTTTGTCAGAGAGTTAAAAATAACACAATAAGTGACTTCTGGAGGCTATAAAGCGTCTTCAGAAGTCATTTGACTCATGTCTGTAGGCAGCTGCGAACATCTGTCGAACTTCAAGAGACTTGTTTGTTGATAACCACTTTCACAGTCCATGCTAATGTTTAACTGGCTCAGCAGAGGCTACTAAGACTTGTATTCATTTATTTTCCAGGTATTGCTGGTTTAAAGCTTTTCCTGTTTGTAGGTTGTGCTTGAACATCTGAGTCAATTATCGTTCTTCTGAGGCTGACCATTTAGATTCCATAGTAAAACTCGGGACATAATGTGGTATTCCAACAGGGAAATGCTCAGATGCATCCACAAAAGCCCTATTTCTACAGGCACTGCATTTGCATGCATCTGTCTCATAAAATGTGCATGGTTTAGAAATAAATCTAGACCATAAGGAAGTGAATAAAGTGAAGACAGACAACATACTTACAGTGTCAGACAAACTTTCAGCTTTCAGTCTTTGCTCTTTCAAAGCCTGCTGTAACGCCAGTATCTCGGCCTTATGCTCCTTGACGGCCAGTTCCACTGCCTGACGAGACTCGGTGCTGCGCTGCTCTGCACGAAGCCTGTGATCAGAACCAAAAAATCATCTAGTAACATTGAAAGATCTAATACATAAAGAGAATGACATTATTAAATTGTATGTTAATGTGAATTAAAAAAAAAAAAAAAAAAAAACTGTTTTACCTGTTTTGCTTTTCGTTATCCAGTAGTCTTTGCAGGTCTCTGGTCCGTCTCTCTGCTTGGTTTTTTTCGTCCTCCAGAGCTCCTCTCCATGCCTCCCACTGTCTCTCTTTCTCCAGCAACTCGTCGTTCAGAGACTCCAGCTCCACCACCTGCTCCTCCAGCATGCTGCATGTTGTCTTCAGTGTCTCAATGTTCTGGGAGCATAAATTCAAGAGAAAAACATGGTTTGTCAACATTATGCCATTATTCACTTTACTTTCGCTTTAAATGCCGTTATGTCTCACAAGGTTTTCATGTTACAACAAAATTACTGTGACACTGAATGAGTATTTTAGCTCAATAGTAATATTTTTTTATGTCTAAATGTATAATTTTAAATATATTTTTTAAATTGAAATACATTTCAATCCTCACCGGCTTGGATTGAAATCCACACCATGTTAAGTGGTGGTTCCTGCAGATTTTACCAACTCCAATTTATGACTTTTTAAGTCCATCGTGAATGAAATCTAAGACTTTAAACGCGACAAATTTGCAAAAGAAGATTGCATATTTATACATATATATGTATGGGGGATGGCAGTAGAAGTGAGTTAGTGGCAAAGATGGATGTAATTTAACGAACTGCAGAAAAATGTGCATTTACAGATGACGGACACAACAAAGTTAACAAGAGTTTATTAGCAGCTAGTTAGCAGTAGCGTCAACCGCCTTGAGTCACAGAATACAATAAAGATGTCTGCGTGGGACTCAAACCTTTGCCTTTCAAAAAATCCCCAACATTAAATAGTCGCGCCACAACAAAGTTTAAGACCTGTGATAGTCATATTTGAGGCCAAATTCCATTTTTATTAATAAATTTAAACCATTTTATGGCCTTGATTTTAGATATCTGAATTTAAAAACTTTGTCAGGCTGCAGGACACACTGTTAAAAGACAACTGAGTTGCTGTCATTTAACCTGTTTCTGGTTGTTGAGGTGCATCTCCCGGTCAGCCACCTCCCTCCTGAGGCGGTCCACCTCCTGGCTGAGCTGCATCTTATCCTCCCTCTCATCCGACGCTTCATCGAGCTGTTTCGACAAGTAGAAGTTCTGGCGGTTCAGCTCAGCATTCTCCTGACTCAGCTGTGTGAGCTGCTCCTCCAGGTCAGTGATCACCTGAGGCAAAAACAAACAGGTGGAGGCGTTAACCCCATGCAGATAAGTGGTCATAATACATCAATATTTTTTGTTTCTGTGATCACATGTAACTCAATGCACCACAACTATTTTGTATCTGTAATGAGATCCCGAGTAAATTAGTTATTTCTTACACATACTGCACAAATCTTATGGCAAACGATTGATAGTTGTGACCAGACAAGAGGAAAACAAAGGCAGTGTCAGCACTTACTGAGCAACTGTCCCTTAAGGCATCAAATTTGCGCTGAATATCGTCTCTGTGGTTCTGCAGAAAAAAGATGACGAAAATAGATATACAATGTGAAATTATGTAACTTTTTCCTTTTAATAAATGGTGTTCCAGTGTAAAATTATCCTACAACTGCTTACATGGTTCTGAGTTGTCATAATGGATAAGGACCCGAGGCATTTTGCTGCAGGATATTCGCCCCCACCCTCTATGCCAAACTTACTGAGCAGCAACTTTCTGAGATCTTGTCCTTGTCTGCTTGGAGTAGCGTCTCTTACCCTCAGTGCAGTGATTTCCTCCTCTGCCTCAGCAGTGGTCTCTTCCAGCTCCGTCTTCGCCTGCTGCAGCTGACTCTCCAGGGCGAGGCGTGCAGCCTGCAGGCTACTGATCTGGGACTCGCGCTCTTGAAGAGACAAGGTCAACTCTGACACTTGTCTCTTAATTTCCAGTTTCTCTTCTTCATGTTCAAGGCCCATCTGCATGGAAAACAAGTAAGCATTTTTAACAAAGAACTCAAATTTCCATCGTTTTCTGTTCTTTTCAGCCAGTTTCATGAAATTATGGAAGATATCTCTACTGTTGTCTGGCTTAAAAAACAAAACCTGCAGAAAAGCCACAGACCGTGAAGAGGACAGACAGAAGGACTGATGTGTGTGTGAGGATGGATGAAAAACTGATGGGTGGATAACTGGATGAAAATTTGAAACATGAATGGATGGATATAAATTAAGGTACAGAAAAAATTTAGCAAAAAATGAACGAATATTTGTCTCTATATTCCGTTTCCCTTTTCAAAACTCATTCAGCTTTAAAAACATTTAAATAACTATATTAAGCAAAAGTAAACAACAAGGCATGTCGGCTGTTCCTTCAGAAAAACAGAACTATCCTTCACTGGTTACTGGTCATCTTGCACTTTTGAAAGGAGCTTTTATTTACCCAACTTTATGTGTACAATGGCAAGCCTTCTGCTTTTGGGACAGTCTGGTAAATTGAAAAAGAAACAAACTGACCAGGAGATAACAGGAAGGCTGAATAGATTACCATACGGTCTGCTTTCATCATACTTTTTGAACAGTTTGTCTGTCATGGAACAAGTTAAATTTGGAAATGTCATCCTGCTTGAAATCTCAAAGTTGATTGATGTTTACAATTATCAATTGTAATAATTCCTAGTATGGGACAATGAATGAAGTGTAAAATGTTAAATCCAATCATTTAAATAGAGACTCCTCTCTTAAGTACATGACTGAATACTGACTCTGCTCCTAATGTAAATAAATAAAAGACGAAAAGGCTAACAAATATTTTAAATTCTTTTAAATATAGTTTCTAAAAAGTAATCCTCTACAATCACTGTTGGTGGGTCAGAACAGTATAAAATCGGAAAGTCAGAAAATGAGCCGCAAAAATCTTTTCCATGCTGAAATCTCACAGTTTCCTCTGAGAGAGGGCAGAGGAAATCCGTCTGCAGGCTAAAGGACAGCGAGGCGAGTATTTAGTGCCAGGCTGTGTATCGGTTCTCAGTAGAGTGCAAGAAGGCAGAGACATGACAGCAGGCTGTCGGTCAGCAACATCTACAGACAAGCTCTCAATAAGAGGAGGAGACTATTTAGCGACTTTTTATCAAACTGTACAAAAAATAAACAGCTGACTATTAGGATACATTTCCCAGTGAAGGACAAATGTAACAAATTTTAAGTCAAATTTCAAGTTTTTGTTTGATTTTTATCCCTTCCTCATTTGTTGAAATCTGGCTAATAAATCTGAATTTTTTTGTAGTAGGGATTTCTTTCTAGACTTTTATTGCTACATTTACATGAAAGCTACAGAAGCAGACTAGCTGATCAGCTCCTTAATCCTGTCACGATGCAAGACTGGATTCTGTGCCGGTTTAAGTGGATGACTTAATCTTGAGTTTACAGATTTAGCACCATTTGCCTCCTGTTGCCTTACCTCCCGCAGCCGACTCTCCAGCTCCATCAGCCGGGTTCTCCTGGTTTGCTCCTGCTGACTCATTTTTTCCAAGTGCTCCTCTAGTTTGGCATTCTGAGCCTCTAGCTTGCCTGCTTGAGACTCCAAGTAAAACTTTTGCTGACGAAGTTCTGAGATCATCTCCTCCTGGGCTTTCCTGCCAAGAAAAGGAAACGCGAATGTGGCTATTATTTATTTGCTTGACTAATTTCTTAAGGCAAAATTTCTCAAATGAGAATTCTGAGTTAAACATTTGAAATAATAAAGTCCAGCATTGTTTAGGTGTATACTGGTGAAGAACAGCATGTGCTGGACGCTTTGTTCACTCACATATTCTTCTGGGTGTAGATGCTACTGTTGGCGGCCAGCTTGTTAGCCTCGGACAGCTCGGCGATGCGCTGCTCCAGGTTCTTCATCTTGGAATCCATGGCATTGATGGTCTGCAGTAGAGCAGGGATACAATTAACACCCGGCACATCGACTTCTAACAAACCCACTCACCCAATAAGTTTCTTGATCAGTTTGCGAATCAAAGTCATTAAGAATAACAGCAGATATTTAGCCAGTACATTTTTGTTTAAAGTTAGCATAATGTTAAACGTTTACAAAGTCCTATTTGAATCTATTTAGCAGTTGACGATCTGGGAAAGCTTCTTAACGGCTTCCAGGCTAACACATTAACGAGATTAAAACTTAAGCCCTGGCTGTGTTGAGCAACAAGAACCATTCTGCCAATTAACTTGTCAATCCAGCTAAACTGCGATAAGAAACTAAGGCGCTAGCAACCAAATTGGATATCTGAAGAAATAATCTTACAACCAAATCATTAGATGTTCCCAAATAGGCAAGTTAAGCACATGCGGGCCTTAACTAGGCAGACATAAGTAACCTCTGAATCCACTTCAGTAAAGAATTAGAGGAAGATTTTGTTGTCTTACAGCTTTCTGTTCGCTGATTAGTTTGCAGTTCTCTCTCGACTCCTCCTCCTGCTGCGCCCTCTTTGCCTCGAGGCTCTCCTTCTCGGCCATGTCTGCCTTCATCTGGGACTCCAGGACCTGGATCAGTCAGAGCCGGAAAATAGGAGACTGGTCAGATTACATCAGAGATGCTCACGCTTCATTTATAACCTGCTACAAGACATACTTCACGGCTTAACTATGAAACCTGGGGTGGAAACTATAAATAGAGCATTGTCAGGTTTTGCTGTAAGACATGTGACGGCGACATTAATTGAAAATTTTAGACCTGAAAAGAAGAGGATTTTCTGTCTCACCTTGATCTTATCTTCAAAAAGCCTCTCCTTCTGAACCAGCTGAGTTTCCATCCTCTGAGCCGTTGACTGGGCATCCCTCAGGTTCTCCTCCAGTTCCTGGGGAAATTATGAGCATTATAACAAAATCAGCAGTAACAATTAAGACAGAACAATGCAACTAATAAATCCACTCTCACTCAAAATGACAGGAGAAATAAAACAAAGAAAAAAAACTTGCATTAAAAAGCTGGAAATCCACAAGCTGACTATAGCGGTGCCTGTTCATGTTGAAAATGGTAAAATCCATAAATGTAACACCAAATCTTTTCAAACCATCTGCGAGCCTCGGCTCCCTACGTCCATTTCCTACATCCATTAATGACTGAGCCTTGACCATTATGGGGTTAGAAGGGTGGAAGGCGCAGGGCAGTGGGGAAATTAAGGGTGGAGTAGTGAAGAGTATTAATGAGCTTTAATCTAAGGCTCTCCCACCAGGATCTTTTCGGCCATCTGCTGGATCTGCTGAGATTTGGTCTGAATGTCATCTTTCAGCTTATTCTCCCGACGCTCCACCATCTCCAGCCTCTTTACTTGGTTTTCCAGGGTCTTCCTGCCCTCCTGCTTACACAACAACAAGAACCCAGCAGAAAAAGTAAGTGCACAGAAAAGTGGCGATGATGACACAGAAGAAAGGAAAGCAGTGAAAGAAACTTGTTATCAATCAATCAAATCAAATTTTATTTGT